AAATGCCGGAAAAGTCACTTTCTGATTTCATCAAAGTCTCTTTGGAATATTGATCTATGTTTGACAATGAAGGGGTGAAAGAGATAATTGTACACAGAAGTGACATTATTTCTAGGTGGGTAGGGCCAATTTACACATGTGACCCACAACTGCATATAACTCTGCCACAATGAAAAAAACAGTACCATATTATTCCTACTGAAGATAGGAAAGAGACACCCGATGCCTCCTGGCAGGATTCTTTTTCTACTCATAGTATCCCCATCCTCTGAATGTGTCGCCAGCAAGGCACTAGTTCCATGTTCTCAGTATCACATTCCCTGTTTATTTGCTGAATAATGCCTATCCATCTTCATCTCACCTTTACTACTGACCAGCTATCTATTTTAAAAAAAACATAATTTAAAACTGAAGATAAGTACAAACACTTAAAAACACACATACACAAATGTGTTTCTTTTGGAGAAAATCTAGATTCTAGTAATTTGGGTGGGATTTTGGAATTTTCTGGACTACGGATCCCATAATTCTCCATTCTGAGAGTTCTATCAGACAGTTACCTCACAGACACTTAAATGTGGCTCACTTGGGAGAAGTGTCTACACTAGAATATTCTGAGGCCTAGCTCCACCTATTTCAGAAAGTGAAGCTCCCAGCTAGCACTCAGAACAAGAATAGGTGAAGCTAGACCTACCTACGCCTTGAAGCCTTTCTATGAGGTAAGCCACATTTAGGCCTCCTTCCTACCTATCAGCGTATTTTGTACTCAGAGCTACTTTTCTGCAATGGTTTCTAAGTTTGGAAAAAAGGGGGGGGGCAAAAGTTACATATAACAGCATGTCACCTGATGTACAGTTTGGTCTTTAGTCATGGCTGAGAAAGATAATATTTTAATGAGTAGAAGAAGTGGCAAAACAAGCACAAACATACTTTTATATTCATTATTCAATCTGTTGAACTGTTCAAGCACAATCACAGGTGACAATTAAAACTGATACAATGCAAAAGTAAAAAAAAATCAAATGAAAGGCATTTTCTTCCATTAAACCCCGCACGACACTTCAAAGACATGCAGTATTCTGCTTTAGATAAATAAAATACTGCCATGAACACACAGAAATACATAACAGGTTTATAAGGTAAAAGCAGCATGAGAACGTGTACAAGAGGCACAACAAGCTTCACATTTCTGGGAAGCCTTGTACCGGTCAATGACCTTTTGTTCACTTCTTTAGCTACAATTTGTCACTGTTCAACCTTTATCACTTTTACCCAAGACAACCTACCAACTCAATGTCCCAGGCTTTACATTAAATATAAGGTGGGACATGCTATGGATTTGTATATTGGTTAAAATCTCTGAACGGCTTGTAGAAACTTATTTCTCCTAAAATGATAGTATGTAGTGCCTGTATCTACTTGCTACTGGTATTTTTAAAAGAAAATGTGGTAATCCAACTAGAGTTGAGTCTTACCTCTCATACCGGATATCTCATCTCCCTACCACCCAACTGTTTTAGAATTAGGCTGCTGATATTAGAGGTGTGAGACCATGGTGCAGGAAGAGCCACACATCTGACACATCTACCCTTCTTGCTCAAGATGATCAGAAGGTGATGTTTAAGGGGGGAAAACCAATTGCATGATAGGAGGCTTATCAGGAGAACTGAGAACAATGTATTCCCGTGCAGTACTGGCAAAAGTGTGTGTCAGTTATAAAACTGGCAAGGCCTCTAAGCTACTCATGGAAATTTTGGCAACATCACTTCAGCTTGCTAACTGCCAAAAGACACAGCTGCCTGTTTCAGAAATGCAAAATGTGCATATGTGCCCATGTGAGGCTAAAGAGTGAAAACAGAATCTAAAAGAAAGACCAGCATGACAGAGATTCTTCCTTTGGGTTTAGTTAATTCAGATCAATTTTAATTCATATTTATTAAATCTGGAATAAATAGGACTTCTTAATATTTATTTTTCTTTTGGAATTTCTATGTGTCCTTTGCTAGTACACATAGTAATTCTTAATCAGTACTGTATAACTGCCTCACCTTCTGCATTTACCACCATCCAGAAAGTTCTCTAGATCATATTTTAAGAATTATGGCTTAGATAACATTGCCCCTAATTCTAGCTCTGCAATAATGAATCTACAGTCCTTCTGGGGATGTGTGCTTCCTCTTTTCTCTCATCCGTACCGCATTAATTATAAGTGAAACACAGAAACAGTGGCTCTCCTATGGTTTGTAGAAACAAGGTGATTTCAAACCACAATCGATGAAGTTGGTTAGTTTCAGTGATAGTAACTAGAGTTTAGGATGACTTTCTAAACTGTGATTAACCAGAAATTGGTGTTTCAAAACTCTCTTTGCAGCCTCACCAGAGACTCATGTACAAGGGTAGATATTGGTGGAGTTTACACTTGTAGTGCTCAATCATATCTTAGGGTTACATTCAAACAGAGTTCACATAGTCCTCAAAATGCATCATGCCATCTCAGTTTGGACAACATTCTGTATAAAACATATACAGTACATTCCTACATGCACCCATCTTTATCTTGATTTCTTAGGGGGAATAATCTCTTTACTTCTTTTCCTATAATCACACAAATATCTACATATCTGACTCTGATTGGCACATTTTTAATCATATTTATCCAGAGTTAAACATATTATATTAAGTTCAATGGGCAGAATTGAGACCATGTTTAAATTCCAGTAAAATAAACTACATCCTATTGATTTACACTTGTTTAATTTTAACCTAGAAAACCCTGAAAGGGTTGCCGTAAGTTATAGTTGACTTGATGGCACACAGTTATTATAGGATTAATTTTGGCCAGATAGCACCCTTTGTTTTGTTTTTTCAAACATTCTTTTAAAGCATAAAACCATCACATGCCCAACCCTATCTAAATTAATAAATGAGTGAAGGAATGAATGGATGTATTCTTAAGCTACATTTACAAGCACAGTACAATTACCACCAGGGTTGTCAAACCAGTTCTCTAAATACCTGCATGCCATTGTTTGGCACTTTTTACCATTAGAAAGAACAGTTGAGGTACAGTTAAAGTATTGGAACTCGAATCACACGCAAAAAAGTAATGCATTTACAAAATAAAATCACTGTAAAAATGGATAAAGTTCTTTAGAAGACCCTCTCCCCAATCTGTACAAATTTAGTACACTATTCCTTTACAAAACACCGAGGAATGGTTATGTTAATGAATATTGTCCAGTTTTGATTTATACTGAAAAGTAACCACAGACTTGAATGGGTGGAAATACTTGTAAAGTTATGATAAAAAATTTATGCACTATCAACTTTGGGTTGTCAATTCAAAACAGCACATGATGATTCAGAATTCCTGGACCTGAATGCATGTTTTGTTTAACTTTTGTCTCCTCCTGAGAGAAAACTGAAGGGTTAGAGAGTTTTTTCTTTTCCAAATGTGTAATTTTCAAAATTATACCATATCTCCTTATTCTCACAAGTACATTTGATACATATGCTTAGGACAGAGAAATCACAATAGCTTCTGATTTTAAAACACAGTATTAGACAATGTTTACAATATGTTTACGTAAAACCCTAATGCAATTTAAGAATGAAAGAAAATGGAAAGCAGTCTTACAACAAAGAGAGTGTACTATCTCTGGAAGTACGACGACACAGACAATCTCATGCTTGTCCTGTATCTTCCTCATGCTGTTTAATCCAGATGTTTCAGGAGTTCAGAATTTTTAGCAAAGCCTTTTGTTTTCAAAGGATTTGAGTTTTCCAATATGAAATACTAGCCAACTCTGCAAATGCTAAGGTGTGTTTCTGCTGCTTTTGTTTCTGAGGTATATATCAGAAAAACTGATCAACGTTCCCTTTTATTTTCAGCCCCCCCCCCAGGTGGGACTCTACCCCTTGCGTCTGCGACTTTGCCCACCCATCTGCAGAAATTGGAGATTCATCACAACTGGAACAAAAGGGGCTGAAAACAATTACTGTCGATGCATAGAGGAGGAAGGCTGTGCGGTTGGGGGGGGGTAGAGTTGCAGGCATGCACCTTAGAAGGAATCTTGCAACTGATGCAGCTTAGACCATATCCTACCAAGTATCAGTGATGAGTACTCTACAGCAGCCACCCTCAATGGGAGCCATATGGCCCCCTGGAGGGCCTTGGCACATTTGAAGAGGGCCACAGACTGGAAACAATTCTTCACACACCATCTTACAAGGTTTGTTATGTGACTTATACAATCCTGATTTGGACTATATTTCTTTCATATTGTGTTTATGGCTGTGGCCAAAAACTGTTGAGAGAATGAATGCAGTCTATAGACATCACAGATGAGTACCTTAAACATTTATCTGTAAAAATTAGTCAGTCCTTCAAAACATTCCACATGGTGTTTGAACAGACAAGGTAACTGACTTTGTTCTCAATGACGAGCTGAATGATGGAGTTGTGCTTACTGAGAAGCCCGATGTTCTGACTGCCAGACTGCTCAACTGTCCTCCATGCTTTGCCAGCAGATCCACTTATGGGCAGATCCCAGGAGGAGTATTTAAAACCCACACTGAACTTTCTGTTTGAAATCCAAGGGGAAAATAGTGTCATCACCCACTTGAGAAGCCCATCTGATTTTGGAGGCAGTGAAATGTTTAACTTTTGGAAACCTCAATGAGTTCTTCCAATATTCATTCTGAATATGGAAAATACCCAATTTCTTCCCATCATACTCACTTTCCTACTAGTTCTTCCTTTTCTCCAAGTGGGGTGGTGCTTGTTAGACCCTTACTTTGGGAAAGCAAGGGTAACAACTTGTGAGGTTTCTTGCAACTGCTGTACGAATAACTAAGTGTGTCATTTGTGGTGGGAAATACCCAGGAATACCCTTGTTTTGGGGATACTGTATATAATTTGTCTAGGATTCTGATTTAAAGTGGAAAAAACCCAACCCAAACAAAGATGGAGCTGAAGACAGCAACAGGTACAAACTCACCATTTTCTGGCTGGTCCTTAATATCAGCTTCACTTGGCTGGCTTGGACTTTCAGACTGACTTGAATCTAAAAAACATAAAGATGTCCCAAAATTATAGGGATCAACTGCAGAACGATGAAAGACTTCAAAGGAAATATATAAAAAATTATATTTTTGCCCCACAACCAGTAATACAGAAAGTTGGTAAGGTAATGACTTTTCACTATTTTTTTTTTAAATACTGAAATCAGATTTCATACATTGTAGCACTACTGATTTTGCCATCTTTGCTGAATAAGTCATTATGTACCTACTCAGAAGAATTTTTTTCTTCTGGAACCAGAATGCATAATCTTGTAAGATTTCAAATATTATGCATCCACCTGAAGACTTTGGCTCTATAGTGCACCATTGTGTTGGTGACTGTAAGAATCCCTAACGCTGTAAAGCTGTTAACAATTTTTCGACAGGCTAACAGCTTGCTGTTAAGGCATTAACCTTTTCATGTTTGTATTATTAACTACCTTTGTCTGCATGAAAACACAGACTCAGTAAGCAACTTTAATTTGCACCATATTTTGAATGAATTTAAGGGCATACCATTTTTTTTCTCTTCCTTGTCAGGAAAACTGCTCATTGAAACAAACAGCCCAGGTTTTATCAATGTAAATTGCAGGTGGGGACCACAGTGTAGATTAGACTCATAGCAAGGGGCAAAAGGTTAACTTCCCCATTCCCTTAACCACATTAGGCATCTTGTACATAATTCCTGGATGAGCATGGGTGGGAGGATATGTTCCTTAAGGGACTGCTAAAGGAACATATACTTTTGTCTTTATTATTGAGGCTGCACAGCATCTAGGACAGCCACAGTGACCTTCTAATTGACAGTATTAGCAATTAGCAATTGTTGCCTGCTGGCAAAATGGGGATGATATAGTGCAGCAATACTGGGCCAATTCCTGGTGTTTTGAATCATGGATACAGAAACACAGTATTCTACATTTATAAACTGAGAGGTTTTTTTTGATGAATTTAATTCCTGTCTTTCTTAAATTGAAGTTTAAATATAGACAAACTACACACAAATTCCAACAGAACCTTCCCTCACATAGAATTACAGTGGGGTCTCTACTTAAGAACGTCCCTACTTAAGAACAATCCAACTTAAGAACGGCTCCATTTGCTAAATTTTGCTTCTACTTGAGAACAGAAATCCAAGATAAGAACAGGAAAAAAAAACCTTTCCTGCTCTTTTTTTAACTTTAGGTCATCTTAGGTTAAAAAAATTCTCCCCCTAGTGGTAGAGTACGTATTAACCAGCTTTGCATTAGTTCCTATGAGAACTAGTGCTTCAATGTACGAACGCACCTCTACATAACAAAAAAACAGCCAGAACGGATTAATTGGTTTTCAGTCCATTCCTATGGGAAATTTTGCTTCAACTTAAGAACGTTTCAACTTAAGAACACCATTCCAAAATGGATTAAGTTCTTAAGTAGAGGTTCCACTGTAGTTTCTATGGACGGAAAAGAGCAGATACGGATTAAATGGTTTTCAATGCATTCCTATGGGAAATGCAGATTCAACATAAGAACTTTTCAACTTGAGAACCACCTTCCAATACGGATTAAGTTCTTAAGTAGAGACCCCACTGTACACAGTGCTAGAGGATCCCAGCATATGAGCCAATGGTCTGTACTACGGTTGCTGGGAGAGGACAGAAGCAAGAACAGTATTAAAGTAACAAAATAATACTAAGACTAAGACTGACAGTATTAAAGTAACAGAACAATCCAAACAAGCTCAAGCAATGAGTACCTTTGTAACATACCAACATAGATTCATAATAAAATGAAAACTGAAGACTAAAATCCTAAAAAATACTTGCATGGAAGCAAGTACTACTGGACATAATGCCTGGTATCCTATTCGTATGCATTTAAGGTTTGTGCCAATGCCAAGGCTAACTGTGGGTAACTGACAAGGTGCTGAGGAAGATTTCATTTGCACAACTCAATGCTAGACCAGGCATGCAACCAATACACACTGTAACAGCTCATTAGTTAGCTATGAAAAGCTACACAAACTTGCGAACACCAGTGAGATTTGCTTCTAAACAAAAATGCGGCCCTAGAGCAACTCCTTACTCTGGAATATACATCCTGCCCATCTCAGGATAACATATCAAAATGAGTCTTTAGCCCATGAAAATGTACCCCATTAACACGTGTATTGTTTATGTTGACAATGGGTTCACCCATGCAACTGCACAACTTCACATGCACTTAATTTGACACAGAAGACGCAGGACAACAGAAATGGGTTCTTATGCCTTAATGGTTCAATAAAGCAGTTTTCCTCTCTTTTATCCTTCCTACAGTTGAGCCCTATTTAATGGTGCTTAAAGTCTACATTTTCCACATCATCATAATGGGAGTCTGGCTGTCCCAGTCCTTCCATCATTGCCTGTATCACATAAAAGCAAAGATGTGGTATGGAAAGTTTTCTAATGCTATATTTTTCTGTAGAAAAATTTCCATATTATATGCATCTACATTTATCCATAGTTGTCTGGACTGTTGCAATGTAATCAATCAAGTTGAATGGGCTTAATATAGGATATGAGCTTCTATACGTATTCTTCTAAGGAGACAAGCATTGATAAACTGTAGTGCTCAGTTCCTCATGGGAGACTGAAAAATAACACAACAACTTGTACCTGAACATAATATAATTGAGTTCTGATCAGTTCTGGATAAGTCTTATACATGGTGTGTTTGTCCTCAACAGACTAACAAATGAACATACTGCTAAGCTCATTTTTATTTTGCAAAATCACTTATTTTTCAATCAGTCAGAAGTAAGGATGAAAAGTGGTAAGTTGCCTGTGCCCAGAGATGTATGTCTATCTTTTGGTGAAACAGAAAGTTCAACTTAGTTATACTGAATCAGATTTTTCTTAACTTGAAATAGAACCAAAGAGGGTCAGAGAATGAGACAGTGAAGGTACTACAGTACAGTCATACCTCAACAAAAGCAAGTTCAGCTCTCTTTAGGTATTTAGGGCCACCTAATGTTGACAACACCAATGGCAGCAGTCAAGATGGTCTACAGGATCCCCTGTTGCTCTCACTACTGTTCAAAAAGTAACACCATGCAAGGGAAAATCCGAAAAGCTGACTCCTTTTCCTATTGGTGTAAACATCTAGGCTGACCTTTGCTATGTAAAGCATAGCATCCTTTCTTTCTTTTTCTTTTCTTTCTTTTCTTCTTGGAAATGTGGTGTTGGAGAAGAGCCATACAGATACCATGGATGGCCATAAAGGCTGAAAAGTGGGTGCTCAATCAAATCAAGCCTGAACTTTCACTATTCAACTCATTTTTCTACCATGCATATACAATGATAAAAGAACTGACCAGAAAAGACAATAATGTTGAGGAAAAGTGTGGTAGGGCAGTAGGAAGAGAAGAAAACCTAACATGAGACAGATGGTCTCCATAAACGAAGCCACTGCTCTTAGTTTGCGAGACCTGAGCAGAATTTTTTTTAGAAAACAAAATATTGCTAAGAAAGCCTCCTGAAAGTCAGTTCATTGGGTCCTGACTGACAGAAACAAAAGTTCAGACTGAGCCAGTCCTTGAGCTGATTTCACCTTTGAAGACTGGTCTCAGAAATCCTGAGAGAATGTTTACGGACACCAAACAAGAGTGGGACAAACACAACTGCCCAGTGCTACTGTAATTCAGAAATATTTCAAATATGTCTTACAAATCTGTACACTAATTCTATGGAGATACATGGCAAAATGTTACCCTTTCTGGAGGACTGTTACTCCATTAATTTCTTTAAAGCTGGTTTGTTTTTATTTGCTTGTTTGTTTGTTTTTACTCTTTAAAGAAAACCTGTCTTTTAACTTACAGTGGGGTCTTGACTTGAGAACTTAATCTGTATTGAAAGGCGGTTCTCAAGTCAAAAAGTCTGTAGGTCAAGTCTCCATTGACCTACAGTGCATTGAAAACCGATTAATCCTGTAACAGGCCGTTTTTGTTCCATTTTGGTTTTTTTCTGGTCTGTAAGTCAATTCTCAGGCTGCAAGTCAAACCTAAATTTTGCGGCCAGAGAAGTCTGTAACTCAAAAAGTCTGTAAGTCAAGCCGTCTGTAAGTCAAGGGTCCACCGTATTCTGCTCTCCAAACATCTCCCTTCCCCACCACAAAGCTGCAACAATGTATGTGCTTTGGAATACTTTAAATACAGTCACAGTTATGAAGCTGAAATGGCAGCAAAAGCTAAAGTTCAGGCCTCTTCTTTATTCCTACAGAAGAACTTAGAAAACAGTAGTGTTTTATTCTTCTTTGAGAAGAAGGAACAAAAATACAGAGGTGGAGAATTAAGCATTCTGAGAAACACCTGTTTCAGGGACTCTGAAACCTAGAATGAGTTCAGATGTCATTTTCCTTCGTTTCCTTCGTGCAACTTAATGTTCAGATGACAGACTGGGAACCTGACAAACAAAATGGCAGGTGATAGTTGGGGAGCTTTTCTAAGCTCTTCTGAAATGCCAGGGAAGATCACTTATTAATTGTCTCTAATAAAGAACCTACTTAATACTGATACAGTCGTGCCCCGCTTTACGATTACCCTGTTTAATGACAAATCTGCTTGACGACAATGTTTTTGCGATTGCAAAAACAATGGTTTGAATGGGGTTTTTCCGCTTTGCGATGATCGGTTCTCTGCTTCGGGAACCAATTTTCGCTTTACGCCAATCAAAAACAGCTGATCCTCGGGTTTAAAAATGGCCACCGGGTGTACAAAATGGCTCCCCGCTGTGTTTAGGAGCCCTTTTCCGCTTTACAGGCACCCGAAAATGGCCACCCCTATGGAGGATCTTTGCTGAACAGTGAGTTTTCAGCCCATTGGAACGCATTGAACGGTTTTCAATGCATTTCAATGGGCTTTTTTATTTCGCTTTACAAAGATTTCGCTCTACAGCGATTTTTCTGGAACAAATTAACGTTGTTAAGCAGGGCACCACTGTACTACTAAATGATTGCTACTGAAAGACAAGAGGGAATTAGCA